TTTCTTTTGTTTGGAAAATTGGTAAGTGGGAAAGCCACCCAATTGCAGATAGCAATTCCTGTCTAGTAAGAGCTCAAGTAAGAGCAAGGGATTTTGTTTGTTTTGTTATTATTTAAAGCACCTGTTTTCTTATTGAATAAAAAGGAAAACCGAGCTGAATGTGTCCTGGACTTTGTATACCCTAGAAGGCTGTGGTTACTGCAAGATCTGTGACAATCCTACCTGTAAAAGAGGTGGTTTGTTACAATACCGAGAAACAAATAGAATTCTAGGTAGTTAGAGATAGATAAAAAAAGATAGATTCATAGACAGATGGGTAGATAGACAGATAGATACCTAAATAGATATAAAAATAGATTCATAGATACAGAAAGATCAGTAGATAAACAGATAATAGTTAAGATAGATTCATAGACAGATAGATATAGCGAGATAGATAGATGTTATATAGACAGACAGACAGACATTTAAATCGATCCATGAATAGATAGAGGTTGCTCGTTCTTGTATCTCTATAGTAGTGTTTCGGAGTGAGAGGTTATCGCAGTGAGTTGGTTTGGGTAGAATTCTAATTGTCTTATCTAACCCAATTCTTCTGCACCCTCAAACGCATCTTTCACTGACACTCAATTACCCCATCGTAGTTGCTCCAGATTATCCTGGAATATGAACTTTTAAAGGTTAATCTAGGGTCCAAAATGAAGAAAATTGGATATATATCTGGTCCATTACAGCTTTTAGTCAGGTCATAGTAAACACACAAAAATAACATCCCCTTTATAGATTGCCTGTATTCTCCTAGATCGCTGAGGATGAATAGGGGCTTTTCCTGGACTCAGAGAATCCCATTGTTCTTGGTTAAATAAGACCTAAAATAGCCCTCTCCTAAAAATAGACCAAAAAAAACAAAGGTACCTTGGAACTGGGACAATTGTACATGATATTTCTTTGGCTCTCTGACCCACATGTTATCTTTGAAAACAATTAATAAAACGTTCAGCTCTCAGTTGGGAAGCTAATATAGATGTTGTTTTCTTAGTTATACAGCATTTTGGAGAAAATATTGTTGATTTATTCGGTAAATCGTAAATACACTGCATTAAAAATGAATTGTCCACATTTAGGCCAAAATAGCAGCCATTAATTATGCATTTTGGGTGTTAAAAAAAATAAATAAATCATGACCTGGGTGGAAGTAGAAATTTTTTGTTTTAAAAATACCCAAAACAAAAACAAACAAACAAACAAAAACACTGTTTATTTTAGCTTGAAATTTGAAAGTAGGTTTTTAAATTGTTCCCTGTTTGGCGAGTCAATTAAGTATATATATAAATAAGTGAATAAATATGACCTAATATAAACAATCGCTGAGGATTATTCACTGAACAAATTGTAATGGATTGAATGTCAGTATATGTAGTATATATATAGTAGGGCATGTCCGTGTTCCTGTGTGTAATGTCAGTATATGTGTATGCCAGTGTTCCTGTGTGTGGAAAACCTAGCCACTTCAGACTATATTTCCCACTTAAGACTGTATTTAAGTTTGTGTGATATTGTGGCTTTAAGACTACCTGAACTGTCCATGTTCCCTATTCTATATTTCATGTGAACGAGAGCATTCGTATGCTGGCGGCACGAAAGCCACCAGCATTCATGCAGTAGTTTCACGAACAGTGAATTTCAACACTGTTCGTGAAACGAACAAACTACCGAATGGGAGACCACACACAGAAGGTCGTGTGGCTCCCATCAAGGATTGCAACAATGTATCTTTCAGCAGTTAATAGATGTTCAGGGTGGCCGCTGTTCGGATACCGACCACGCGTCGGTGGCCATCTTGGATCCTTTGTTAGCCCAGCGGTATTTGGTCGTCAAGTGCATAGAACTAAAATCGGCTACTCAACGGCACGAATACCACTGGATTTGTGCTGGGATCTGAGCCGTACTTTCACGAAGTATGCGCTCAGACCCCAGCTATCTGCCGAACAGTCAGTATATGTGTAAATAATAACACAATGCCAAGAATTGGTATGAAAAGGCCACAGCCAATTTCTTTAAAATCATTGTCCTGCAAATCTGTAACTGAAATTGGTGTGCTAACCTGGAAAAAGATCTAAAACATATTAAACCTCAAACACCTGATTTAACAAAAAACAAAACAAAAAAACAGCTTGCCATGGTATGAAGGTGCCCATCCTAATGCCAAACTAACCGATGGAAATGTGGCATAAAAGGAATATAAAAACAACCAATAGTGCTCACTGATACAAAAAGCAGTATTAAAATAAAATTAAAAAAGAGGGGTACTCACAAAAGGAGAGCAAAATTGGTTTTGTTCAATCCAAATAGCATAGGTAGTATAATCCCCACCAAGGATATTTCTGGAGTCCTTGTAACGGACCGTTTTGCACACAAAAGGTTAAAAACCATTTAGGCAAAATTCCCCTTCCAGATGCACAGGCAGCTACTGCAATCACCAATCTCCCGAACTGCAAACACACGAATCCTCCAACTCCCGAACTGGAACCATACGAATCCTCCAACTCCCGAACAGGAACCATACGAATCCTCCAACTCCCGAACAGGAAACACACGAATGCTGTTAAACAGCCGAACAGGAAAAACCATACGAACAGCTTACACGCACTGTAACAGCATACAATCCAATTCCCCCCAAGAACGAGACGACACTTCGCTTGAGGATCAAGCAGAACTTATTTACTGGGGCTACCTGCCTGGCTTTTATGCAGGTTTTATGCAGGACACTCCTCTAGGGGACCAGATGGAAGACTGGGATACAGGACAGACACTGACCAATTACAGACATACAGTGTAAACACATTCCCACAATATATTGTGATCCCTCTTCTCTATCCTGGAGATAATTGGGAAGTAATCCAATTATCTCCAAGGACAGAGGCAAGACTCCATTAACCACACAATGCTTCTGGGAGGCCAATTGAAGACATCTGAAAGTCCCTGGTGGTCGGCCGTTTTTTAGTTTGTTCGGTAGATTGAATCTACCGAACGCCCTGGGCAGAAAGGCATGAATAAGCCTTTCTGCAGGGAAAATAGTGTTTTTAAATGCCGGTCCATAGTCTAAGGGGAGCAGGCTCCTCCAATGCACAGTGGCAAGGTTGGTCCTCTTGGATAAAATCTTCTAAAAGCAATTAGGAGAGTCCAAAGTAAATAAAAAGTATACTTTTTTTATCACATAAAATAGAAAAATACACTTCACGCGTTTCGCCAAATCACAGGCTTTCTCAAAAGTGACAACTTTTGAGAGCCTGTGATTTGGTGAAACGCATAAGTACCAACTACACCATATTGTGTCTCTTACTCTTTCACATGCACTGAGCACCATCTGGATCAGAAGACACTCACAAGGTGCTGCGACACTTTTTCCATCTTGCATCTTAACTTCTACCAGAAAGAAGAGATTCTGGCTTGGGTTGTCCAAGCTGCCTACTAACATTATCAAAAGCACTAGGAATCCTTTTTTTATTCACTGAATGACCTAAATACCTTGCAAGCTCCTTCCCCGATTGTTAAAAAAAAACAAAACCATGTCTAAATGGAGAAAGGGTGGGACAAAATTTCATAGTTAATTTGAAACTAAAATGGCCACTGACTGACCACTACTTATAACCTACTGACTCCCCCATCACATATCTCCTGCCTGTCAACTGACCACCTAGCCCTGCTCACTCCCACGAGCTGCAAGAGTGTCCCATGAAAATTGCCAAGTATGTCAATTCTATGTAACTACCCCCTTTATCTTTCCCTAGCCCTCGTTATCTCTCCCTAGCCCTGCCCACCCCCCATTACCTATTCATGGCTTCCATAGCTACCCATCTCAATTAAATGTCAGTTTCTGCTTTCTTTGAACTCTACAATTCTAGCCTGTGACGCTAGCAGCCCCTTGTCTGTTTGTGCCCCGTGCGATCCCCCTCAGATGGGTTCTGGGTTCCTCTGTGCCCAATTACCTGTCAATAAATAGGCAGTTTCCTGTGTCCACGTTTTTGATAAATTACAAAGCGGTGAATCACTATAAAGGAATTCTTCCTTTTCCTTGAAGTAGCAATGTAAGCGTGTTTCATACAAAGTACTGTGCCTTGTGCCCAGCAGGTTCAATTCACGAAATACGGCGTTCGTACATTCAGGACGGATCCGGAAAGCTAAGAACCCAGTGATATCTATTTGCACAAAGCATGCTTTCCTTCTGATAAAGTCAACTGTGATCATTTTCAGCCTAAAATTTAAATTGTGATCATTTTGCACATAAAAGCTAAATAAAATGAATTAAATCTCCAATAAGGTGACTTGGGGTATTTTCCTTTTGGACTATATATTTCTGGTCAGCAAACTGAATTTTTTAGTTGTGAGTTGTGGCCAATCTCCAAAATACACAGAAATGTTCATTCTTTTCCCCAATTTGCCTGCTTTGGTTTAAACACAATTACAGATTAAATTATAATCCTAACCCCTGAAATTTGTTTATTTAAGAAACCTCCCCCAAATTTATCCAAAAACAAATCAATTATATTAACCCCTTAAGGACACAACTTCTGGAATAAAAGGGAATCATGACGGAATATTTCCATCATGTGTCCTTAAGGGGTTAAAATATGTAGTATAAGAGGTGACACCCTTGAAATGGTGTATTTGTTCCAGGAGCTGGCTAACCGAAATGGTTTGAGTACAGTAACAATGATACTTCAATGAGAGTATAATTAAAATGAAAACATATTAATAAGAAATAATAAAAATTAGGAAAAACTTTTAAAATAGTTGTATATCAGATTAGGTCTTAAAAGGTCAAAGTGCAGCAAATGTGTGTGGTGTGTATGTCTTTAAATCTGCTAGTGGCAGAATAAATTAGCTATACACTAAATAGTATACTTTGTAGAAAATATGTAAACCATTAAAGGGACACTATAGTCACCTGAACCACTTAGAAGAAAATAATATTGAAAACTGGGTAAAAGTAACAACCAGTTTATTAACACAATATAAAAAATATATTAAAAAATACATTAGAAATACAAGCCAGGAACGGTATACAAGGATATTACCAGCACGGTGGAAATCGGTCAGGGACCGGCTAGGATGGATGAAGATAGTGTGTGACAAACAATCTGTCTAGCTGTCGGCTGCCGGTGAGGATAGCGTGCGTCTCAGACCTCACTCTGAGAGACGAGCGCTACAGGCTGATCGGTCCCTAGATCGTAAGAGTTTCTCGGTAGAGGTAATGTTCTGCTGGCTGGAACAATCACTGTGCCCGTATCCTGCTTGATCTGTCTAACGCGTTTCGTGGGAGTCAGCCCCACTTCTTCAGAGACGGAATGAAGCTTGGTGTTTCAGTGGTAGTTTATATACATATTCAGTTAATTGCCAATAAACATAAATCTCTACATACATCAATTTAAGACATCCACTCAACATGATAATGGAACATAATATTTTGACATTAAATTAAAACTAAGTGGTTACAATTCACAATATGATACCTAAGAGTTCTTGCTCTGCTGCATATTTAAATGACAAGATTCAAACAGTAGTGCCCTAAGTATTTCACTGTATCATATAAAAATATATCAAATGTATAACTGAAAAAAATATATAATAAATAAAAAAGTAAAAATACATATAGCAAAAATTATCTAAAAAAACAAACATAAAATGCGAAAATATCCATTAGTTTTATTACTGAACTATAGTCATAGCCAGGCGTGAAGATATAGGTAGGAATAACAGTACAAAATATACAAAAAGTATATAGTTGTGTAGGCGCTTCCAACCTTAGATATAAACAGTACAAGTGAGTGTGAAAAAAGGTGTAATCCCTTAACACCTAAAGACAAAGTAGAAAGATTAAATAGATTCACACACACTCAGAAAAATATATACAGAATATATACAAAATAGGTATACCACCTATTGTAGATGTAGATATGGTGATTACATCTGAAAAACAAATGGAACATACATAGTGCTTTCCATATAAGTTAAAATAAACAATCTATAATATATGAGGATTAAACTCACAAAAATGGAGCCTCATAGGCTCTATGTACATCACCCTTGGGTGCCTATTCAGGCTCTCGATAAATTCCTGTTGAAGAACTCGAGGTCCACAATAGCAAATGTAGATGCAAATTTATTGAATAGTAATAATAGAATATTAAAAGAAAATATAGATATCTAGGGACAAGGCAGGTATAATAATAGAATATAATACAGTATTGCACCGCAATTATGGCCAAAAAGTAAAAGCAGTGGAACACTACAACATATAAACAATAAAATAATACCGCCAGAGAAAGTCCCAATAGGAAAGTCCAGTAAAGTGCAAACGCGTTTCAGCCCTTGATAGGGCCTTCCTCAGTGCTAAATTCCTGGAAAAAACTTCAGGGCTTAAATAGCCCCCTTGATATGTTCAACTGGGTCCAGCTGTGATTTTGAAATACCGCCGATCATATCACTTCCGGTTTCGGCAAAACGCATGTGACTTCCGGTTAAATGCGGTCACGTGATATTTTTGCGTTCCACCATGCGTCCCACGCTTGAGTATGGTGGAAATAGTCCCAAAGATGTCCATATTGGAAAAGGGCATATGCCCAAACAAGCTTAATCAAACATAATATAAAAATAAAGAAAATAACAAGTAGTGAATTAATGAATAGGTACATAAATATTCCCAAAACACAGAACATAATGGATAAAACTAAAAAGTATATATTAAAGAGGGAGAGAATGTCCAAAAAAGAAAATCCAATAAAAACTATAGAAAAATTAAATATATGTAAATATAAATAACATATACTGTTAAATGCACAATACATATAAAATATATAAATATTAATATTAAAATATTATAAGATTTATAAAAAATTGACTAATTCAAAATCTATATTAAGACCTTTTGGGCACATAGTGTCCAAGGTAAAAACCCATTTACCCTCTAATTTACTTAATTCTCGGACATTATCCTCTCCTCTCCAATTTATCCGTTTTTTTCCAATCACCATAAAACTTAAAAGAGAAGTGTCACCATTATGATGTTCTATAAAATGTGCTGATACACTGTGTTTGGTGTATCCCCTCCGTATGTTCCCCATGTGCTCCATAATGCGGGTTTTCAAACTTCTGGTAGTCATAAGCCACATACTGGAGCCCACAGGGACACCAGAGGAGATACACCACATTAGTAGAATGGCATGTAACAATATCACGTATCTTAAAACAGGTTCCTGTGACATTAGATTTAAACGTAATTTGTGTATCTTTCTTAAAAGTAGTGTTTTTACACGGTAAACACATTTTACACGGATAAAAACCTGGTTTTTGATTAAAAACGTTCTTATCTCCCTGTTTACAATTTATGAAACTTTTAACTAAATGATCTTTAATATTTTTAGCACCTTTAAAGATAACCTTCGGCTTATCACTTATAATATCCTTAAGGTCTTATAATCTGTTTTCAGAACATGCCAGTGTTTATTGATAATATGTTTAATTTGTTTGGAATTAACATTATAATCCAGAATCAGAGGTACACATTCTTTCTCCCCTATTGCTGTTTATATTTGATCCTCATCAATTTGACATCCAAGCTGATACACTAACTTCCTTTTTTAAAGAAAAACATTATAACCCTATAGTCATCAGGTTAAAAGTATGAAGAGAACCGAGGTACTCAAATATAAACCAAAGAAAGATACAGCAATAGGGGAGAAAGAATGTGTACCTCTGATTCTGGATTATAATGTTAATTCCAAACAAATTAAACATATTATCAATAAACACTGGCATGTTCTGAAAACAGATGAGGACCTTAAGGATATTATAAGTGATAAGCCGAAGGTTATCTTTAAAGGTGCTAAAAATAATAAAGATCATTTAGTTAAAAGTTTCATAAATTGTAAACAGGGAGATAAGAACGTTTTTAATCAAAAACCAGGTTTTTATCCGTGTAAAATGTGTTTACCGTGTAAAAACACTACTTTTAAGAAAGATACACAAATTACGTTTAAATCTAATGTCACAGGAACCTGTTTTAAGATACGTGATATTGTTACATGCCATTCTACTAATGTGGTGTATCTCCTCTGGTGTCCCTGTGGGCTCCAGTATGTGGCTTATGACTACCAGAAGTTTGAAAACCCGCATTATGGAGCACATGGGGAACATACGGAGGGGATACACCAAACACAGTGTATCAGCACATTTTATAGAACATCATAATGGTGACACTTCTCTTTTAAGTTTTATGGTGATTGGGAAAAAAACGGATAAATTGGAGAGGAGAGGATAATGTCCGAGAATTAAGTAAATTAGAGGGTAAATGGATTTTTACCTTGGACACTATGTGCCCAAAAGGTCTTAATATAGATTTTGAATTAGTCAATTTTTTATAAATCTTATAATATTTTAATATTAATATTTATATATTTTATATGTATTGTGCATTTAACAGTATATGTTATTTATATTTACATATATTTAATTTTTCTATAGTTTTTATTGGATTTTCTTTTTTGGACATTCTCTCCCTCTTTAATATATACTTTTTAGTTTTTTTTTGTTTTTGTTTTTTTTTAATTCTTTATTTTGTCACAGTCAACAAGATATATATATATTGCATGTAATACATTCAATGAAGCATATCACTGTTTTACTCTTCTGCATACATTGGTGGGATAGCGATGTTGGCTGTGGTATTTTGTTTTATGGTAATGTAGCTTGTTACTGCCATGGTCATGTCTTTAGCGATGGTTGTGGTTAGTGTAGGAGTCTGGGACATGTATGGCTCTGTGGTTTCAAAAAGTGAGAGAAAATGCAATATATTTCTATGGCGGGTTGGGTGCTGAGTGGGCACAGCTCCGCTTTGGTAGAGTAAGTGTAAGTGGTTCCTAGCGCGGAGCTGGGGGGGTAAGGTGTTCGTTAAGGAGCTAGTGTTTCTGAGTTTCGACTTGTTTAGGTCTGGGAGGTGGCGGAGATGGGTGTGACCCGCTGTTAGTGCATGGTGTGGTATGTTGCGCGGTGTCTAAGCGGTGTATGTAACATAAACAACAACAAACAAAAAAGAAAAAACAAACAAAGAGGGTACAATACCCACGGCATAACTTATGCTGCATCTACGGTTTCTCAACGTGAGGCTGGCCCTATGGGGTGCCTGTGCCTCACAATACGAGGGAAAAAATAAAACAAAAAACGATAAAAACGATAAAAATAAAGAATCCCAAGAGGTTAAGTAACCATATATAAAGGCAGCTATATAAATGAAAAAATTTAATGTCCAGAGTCACGTGGTTGCACGGTTGGGTAGGTTCCGATTTGCCGGGATGAACGGGACAGAGTTGGCCGGGTCCCATGTTGTCGGTGCCGGCGTTGCTGCGTGGTTCAGGCCCAGATTGGTCAGGGTTGCCTCTATCTGCGATGCCTCCGCTACCTTGATCTCCGTGTTTTGGTGCTGGATAATGAGCGTGTGTGTTGGGCCCCATCGGTACTTGATTCCGTTCGTTGATAGTATGGATGTGAGGGGTCGTAGCGTCTTCCGCCACTGAAGCGTCGGTCGAGAGAGATCTGAGTAGAAGGTAACGTCCATATCCTCAAAGCGGAATGGGGGTTTCCCCCTCACTGCTTTCAAGATGGCTGCCTTATCTTGGCCATTTTGGAATTTGACCAGTAGGTCGCTGGTGTTGGAGGCCGCAGCTGCAGGAGGCTTTGGGAGCCAAAACATCCCCTCTAGTGTGATGCCTTTTGCCTGTTTGGGTGTCAACAGTGCTGTGAAGAGTCTGCGCAGGCAGTGGGGCAGTTCTGCTTGTGTGATAGTGTCCATGAGGCCCCTGATCTTAAGGTGTTTCCACCTTCTCTTGTCCTCCATTGCTGCAAGTTGGTGGCTCAGAGTGGTGTGAGCTGCAGTGAGAGTGGCAATCTGATTCTGCAGACCTTGGATGTGGGCTGCATGTGTTGTGGCTGTCTGCTCTATTATATTTAGGCGCCCATTGAACCCCTTGAGGTCTTCTCTCACCTGGGAGATTTCTGAGGAGAGGCTGTGACGGAGATCCACCAGGAGGCCGGTAAGTATCCCTGTGGTGAGAGGTTCTGACCCTTTGGCTGCTGGCTGGGCAGATGTTGTAGGGTTAATTCCCCTCTCTTCTGTGTCGTGGAGGGAGTAGTCAGCCGAGTCGTCTGAGAAGTCTCCCATGTCCGCCGCCATGTCAGTCCTCCCCACGCCATGCGGTCCCCTCAGGAGGTCGCCGATATCGGCACAGAATCTCGGTCGATCCGGACGGGGCTTTTTGGTTTTTCTCCCCATCGTAAGGAGAGTTGTCCGGGGCTTGTTGGGGGGTGTTGTACCCCTATGTTCGGCAGGATTAGGGCGTTTTTCGTGCCCGTTTATCGGAGCTCATGCAGAGAGCGACCGTTGCCCATACTTTTTAGTTTTATCCATTATGTTCTGTGTTTTGGGAATATTTATGTACCTATTCATTAATTCACTACTTTATAGGTACAAGTACCAATACTAGCATAACACATATCAAATAAATGTATGAGCTTATTATTGTATTCCATATAGATTCATTGTGAAATGCAAATACAGATAAAAGACATTAATAAACATTGTGGTACTTCCCATTGAAATGGACATGTGATACATAGTGTGTACGTGTGCAAAAAAAAATAAGGTGAGGATGTATACATATAAATGGATATATACAAATAGATATGCATATGAGAAAATACAATACTAATAAAATAAGAATAAGGATAATAAAGATACAAAATAATAGAAATAAAGATACAAATAAATACGAAAAAATAATAATAAATACAAAAAAATTATAATAATAATGAAAAATAAATAAACATGCAAGTAGAAATGACAATAAATATAAAAATGAAAATAAAATAAAAATAAAAATTGGAAATAAAAATAAAAAATGAATAAAAATAGAAATAAAAATAGAAGTAAAAGTAAAAAATTAATAAGAATCATAAATGATAAAAAAAAAGAAGAATGAGCTGTGTATAAATAGTGGTGGATGGCCTAAAAGGCAGAATTGGATGGTGTGATAAAAAAGGGAAGCAAGGGGAAAAGAAATGAGTGATTATAAGGATATCGTGAGATCAAAAAGGAGGAATGGGTTAGTGTGTGATAAGTAGAGATTGGGGAAAAAATAGAAATAGATAGAAATACCTATAAATAAGATACTGGTGATGAAAGAATGCTGTCCAAATAAATACATAGAGATAAGAAAAATACAAAATAATAGAATAGATAGAAAAGTGGTGTAGTTAGAGTGTAACATGCAGTTGCAAATTAGAAACGATGAAAGCAGTTCAGGACGAATGATAGAAGTATCTCATACACTTCATGTAATTGGGGAGACCAGGTTAATTTTTGACCATCAATACATTCTCACTCATCATATCTCCTGGTCTCCCCAATTACATGAAGTGTATGAGATACTTCTATCATTCGTCCTGAACTGCTTTCATCGTTTCTAATTTGCAACTGCATGGTACACTCTAACTACACCACTTTTCTATCTATTCTATTATTTTGTATTTTTCTTATCTCTATGTATTTATTTGGACAGCATTCTTTCATCACCAGTATCTTATTTATAGGTATTTCTATCTATTTCTATTTTTTCCCCAGTCTCTTCTTATCACACACTAACCCATTCCTCCTTTTTGAGTGTGAGTGATACTTGAAAATGCAGATTAAAATATACATGAGCGAGCTTTCCGTTTGTAATGAAGTTCAAGTTATTGGCGAGATGTTAGTGCTATACTGATATGGGTAAGTATAAACATGTGATGCATAGCTAGTAAGTTCTGCAATACAGTTGTCTCTGGATGCCCCTGGAGCCAGGAGATACTTGTGCTTAGTGAGTGATACCAGGCTTTGGAAATCCTAGACAGCTTGGTAGGTTGGTGTACTAGTGTGAGTATGACGTGCTATTAGAAACGTGGCATTATCAATCGTCGCCAGTGTAGGCTGCATTAAAGACAATTACATGGCTATAAGTAAATGTTGGCTGCTAAACATAATATTGACTATGACATCTTAAAAACAGTATTTTTTGTCTTGGTACCGGTGGGCTAGAGTTTAGCAGCAAGTCCTTCGGGGGACATGGGTACCTTGCTCGAGGGCATGTGGCAGTGGCAGCCAGTGCCTCGGCTTGGCAGAGCCCTGTCGTCCTTGGGAACTCTCGAGTTAGCCTGGCTGCATCTCCGTGGCAGTACAGGGTTTGTTTTGCGCCCAGTGTCCTGCTCGTCCTTGGCCTTCCTGGAGGTAAGAATCACTGTTCTCTGGGTCTGTGATTTCTGGGATAGGTATAAGTCCTTCTTCCCAGAGGAGCGACTGTGGTTCTGAGTGTTTGTCTGTCTCCTGGGGGGTCTGTGTTTCAGCTTCTGTATTGGGCGTTTATGGTGTGAAGTCTTGCCTGCTCTCTGCCTGTTTGGGCTAGGTACTTGCGGCTGGGGTGTTTGGCGGTTGATAATGCTTGATGGAGCCCTGTGCACCTCCTCACTGTTACACTTCTGTTTTCCAGAGTGTGGGCTGTGGGTTTGTGCTTGAACCTTTTCAGGAGGGAGGCCCTGATGGAGTGGAGCTCTGTCTAGGGGTAGCTCCATAGGTGCGGGCATCTCAGGTGGCTTTCGCCATTCCTCCCAGCCTCTCCAATACCGCCGGCACATATTGTCGAAGTTTAGCATGAATCCTGCTGCCCAGTTGCTGTGGTGCAGGTTAGATTGTGCAGGTTTGTCGGTGGCCATTTTAGGGAAGGCCGCATGTGTGGCTTCATCCCTGTTGTTGTCTGGGTGCTTTGCCGAGGTGATTAGTCATCTGGTGGAGGCCGGGACGTCCTCCACCGGCCCAGAGGGGGGGAGTACGGGGCGAAGACTGACCGCTGGGTTGAGTGTCCAGGTCGCCCCCGCCGTAGAGACCGGCCGCATCTTCCGCTGGGTCGGCGCCAGGCCGCAAAAAGGTGGATGTCACAGCTGCTCTTGTGCAAATTTGGCAATCGAAAATAAAAGATGTGAATTGGTTTTAGAAAAAAAACTATAAAAAAATATTAATTTGCACCATGAGTGGGCAATATGGGAGGAGGACATAGTAAAAAAAGTACAATCTGGGGTGATGCCCTGCAGTCGACCAACACAAATTGTTTTTTTTTTTCATTGTCATTTTTATCTATTTTTATTATCTTTTGTACATATACTTATGGTATTATATTAGTTTTTATATTTATGTATATATATATATATATTTATAAATCTCCACGGAGAAAGGCACACGTTGGGCTTTTTGAAGAAAATGATGTGTCTTTATTCGTAACACACGGGTTACTGAGGATTCCTGATGAAAGTCCTAGGATGGACTGAAACGTCGATTTACTGTAACCCGTGTGTTATGAATAAAGACAAATAATTTTCTTCAAAGAGCCCAGCGTGTGCCTTTCTGCGTGGAGATTTATGTTGATTTGGCTGAAAGAGCACCGTGCCACTTATACTACGAATGTGAGTGCAGGATCGTGGTTTATATATATATTTATTACCTTTTCTCTTATTGCCCCCATATTGTAATTTATATTCAAATTTCTTGTTATCATTTCTGTAACGTATGTCTTGTAAAACTCAATTAAAAAATATTTTATAAGAAAAGTTGTAAAAATGGAGCAATCGCCATAGAAACCAGTAGAGTCAGCAGGAGCATTCAATTAGTTTCAATGGTGTTTGCGCAAGTTTCATCAGACCTAAGTCACCCCCGGGACACACTCTTGCCGTCTGAGTAATCTGGCAACAGAGAGTTAAAGAGTTCTATAGTTTTAGGCTGTACCTTTGTACTACATATGGAGAGATTTGTGAAGATTATTTTGAGAACACTCCCTTACCCCCTCTCCAGTAACAATGCTGTCCAGGCGGGACTGTTTTAAAGAGACTAACAGGTGTGAGGGTACTTAACCCTGTAAAAGTATAAGGTTTTTGGATGTCCTTTCAGGGATGTCTCCTGAGACAAGTCCTCTCCTGTCTGTCTCTATACGATGGGTGTGTACCAAGTTTGTCAGGATGTTTTGGTCGTATAACAAAGGACAGCATCCCCGCCTGCTTAATTTATCTGAACTTGTTTGTATATTCTGCGTCTGTATACGTATTGATTTGTTTATCTCACAACGGCATGTAAGAAGAATTTTGTAGGTGGGGATCAGAGAACGGAAAAATGACAATAGTCAGTGCAGCTGGGTTTTTTTGCAGCCAAAAGATGAGACGCGTCTTTTCACGAAAATTAAATAAAAATTAGAAAATCAGCTTAATTCTGACTGAGGGGGACTAAGTGGCTGAGAGACCAGGGACTACTGCAAACTGCTGGACGCGTCCCCTGGGTTGCTTTCAATTTCTGGTACATAGATTTTTTCATAAACCTGTTCCTAAACAAATCTCCTTTTTTCTATAGAATATTAAAAGCACTTTGGACTTTTGTACCAGAAGTAATTAAGATACTTCGAATTATAGATTTCATTACTTGGTATAAAACATATTAGTCTGAAGGAATTTATCCCAATAACGGGGGATATTCTGTGAAGACATATAATTACAAGAAGAATATTGCATTATCTGCAGACACTCAGTGAGCTGCCACTCAGGGACAGGGTGAAATGCGCGGCTGCCTGGCTATTGGAATAGGAAGAATCTAAAACTTGGACTGTTACAGGAGACGAGGATGGGTTACCCATCAACTTAGACCAGGGGTGCCCAGAAGGTAGATCCCCAGATGTTGTAGAACTACAACTCCCATGATGCTTTGCGTGTCTTAGCATGCCTTTTGAATCACAAGGCATCATTGAAGTTGTAGTTTTAAAACATCTGGAGATCTCCCTTTTGGGCACCCCTGAGCTAGACCAACAGCATAAACGGAAAGATTGTTAGTGTGCCAGGTGTGTAGGGAGCCACCTTGCCAACGGTACCATAGGTCAGCAATGTTATGAGCTGGGGCTACTAAGGCTTCATTTAAATATTGTTGGATAAGCTCTTCAAATGATCTCTATTAATATTTTTGGATATATTGCAAAATTTATATATTTTATATTTAATATATTTTTGGATATTTTAAAATCAGATAAAGAAGCCAAAAGATAAACAGGGCAAGGGAGAGAAGGAGTACAAACATCGAACAAGTAGGGAGAACCGGGGGCAGAATGAGACTGACCTGAAAATACAAACTAAAACTTGATGATGCGTTACAATAGTTCATTATTATTATTATTATTGGCATTTATATAGTGCCAACTTAGTCCGCAGCCCTTTGCAATGTTATAAATGAGACTATCACATGTAACAGGAACAATGGGTCTGCTCAGAAGAGCTTACAGACTAACTGCTGGCAAGGCATCTTGGGAATTGTTATCCTACAACATTTACTCTCAGAACCCGTGGCAGGAGTAAGTAACCGTATAAAGACCTGGGCGGCATTATACGTCACACAGCAGCCGCCAGCTGGGGACAGCAGGCCATAGACTAAAATCAGTGTATCGTGGCCTGAAGCCGCCTTAGAATGAGCCACGAACACACTGACATCAGGTTCAAATTAGCTCTAATTAGCAGAACAAACTCTTGGAAATGTGGTTTTTAACAAGTGTCAGCTTTGAAATCAGAATTCCTGGACTGGATGAGTGGCATGGCTGCTAACTGTCCCTTAGAATCGGGCTGGAGGGGAGGGTGAAGTCCATGGTGTTTTAGGGGGGCTTATCTCTGCATTCACAGCATTTACTACAGGGTCTAACATCAATGGAAAGTGAACGCAAGGAGGAGAGAGCATCTCTGTCTATATTTATTAAACCATCAAGTTTCGGTGAGTTTCATAGCGGAGCTGGGCAGGACCAAGGCCACAACTACACCTACTGCAGCCCCCTGGTTTATCACTAGTGACTCGGGGCTATTACTATCTGCACTTTGGGCTGTGATAACATCACTAACAAGAAGAGATTGAGAATCCTTGCTATCTCCTGAGGTTCTAACCGGTGTACACATTGTATAAAATATGCATTGTATTAAATGTACTATAAATAGTGTCTTTTTACTGGTGTAATATGGATGCCAGCTGTGTTCCTTAGTAAATCATTACAAGACCTCTGAGTATTTCAGCGGAGACCAGATATCTTCCTGTTGGCGACGATGTCAATTGTTTAAAAAAACCTTTACAGATGAAAGCATTAAATGTCAGCAAACTCAAAGCACGTGTCCATCTTTATTACGCGACATTTCCTAGTGACAAAGAAGCTTTATTGATTAAACAGAATACGGTTAGAATTCTAGTTCTGCTTCCGACACTGTTATAGTGAATCCAAACTTTCTGAAATCATTCTACGACACCTGTTATGAATCTAAAACAAATGCACACAAAAAGCTTAAATTTCAGGACAATTTGTTACCCCCAAAATATTTTATACGATGGGAAACAAATCTGAATTAGCCCAAAATTGAAACTGCATTGAATTTGCCTAAATATGTCCCATTTCAGGGCTGGATTACATGAATTATCTTCAGGATAATATATTTAGTGAAATTGGGTAGTAAAGGAATGATCCAAGTTAAATCTTACAGAGCATTAATTGGTCATCTAGCAGTAAAAGAGAACAGTTTGACACTAGACTTGTACATTTGGTTTCAAACTAATTGCAATTTCTTGGCCAATCAGCAGGTCACATGAAATCGGCTATATGGACACATCATAAAAAGACGACACGAACAATGAACTGATTCAGTGTTCCATCTGTGGCGTCAAAAAAAAAAAGAAATAGATGTCTGATGGTTGGGGACAGCCAGTAAATCAAATATATAAATAATAAGTAAAAAAGAAAGGAATCAGGCGTCAGCCGGACCAAACGCCTAAAATACACAACCGAGTGCTCAAAAGTAGCCAAACACTCAAAATGTTGTACAAACGTGCACCGTATTTGA